AATATGATAAATAGAAAAAGTAAGGAAAGAAAACCACCACTACCTAAGTGTAGCATTTATTAAAACATATTGGTGAAATGAAAAACAATAAATACTGTATGCACTGACATTTAAAAGATATTAAATGGCATATCAATAAGTCTCCAGTAGGTGGCGACCTTCCAGATGGCCAAATCATCAGCAAGCCCCTCCACATGGATGAATTGTAAGGAGCTTGGAACCAGGAACTTGACCAGGAAAACACCAGGGGGCCACACCACGAAATACATAACCACGCCCATCAACATCACACATGACATTATCGCGGCCACTTTGTTGGCCTGCAAACTCCTCTGTTGTCCACAGTGGTTCCCATCCATGAAATATACTCATAGTCTGCTGGCTCTTCATGGTGTTCCCCTGGCCAGCTTCCTGATTCCAAGCACCTTACATGACATCCACGCGGAGGAGCTTGCTCACCATTTGACCACCTGAAAGATCGCCAACTGCTGGAGACTTATTGATATGCCTTTTAATATCTTCTAAATTTGGCTGCATATTAGGGTTTCCATGTCATCCCTTTAGAACCAAACACATATTAATTATACAGGTTCTGTGGCTGATTAAGGTGGTAATTATACTCGGTGCTTTATCTGCATTAAATGAGAGCTCAGAACCTGTGTAATTAATATGTGTTTGAGTTTAACTGATGAGGTGGCAACTCTAGTGCATATTTATTACTTTCACCAATATGTTTTAAGAAATGCTACACTTAGGTAGTGGCGATTAACTGTTTATACATGGTTTGCTGGTGGGAGCCTTCCCAAATCCTGCGTGGAAGAGAGACTTTTCTCAAGGACTAAAAAGACTCCTTTTATTCATCTTTCTTTCTTTATCAGTGCCCCCACCCCTTTTTTTGTACCTGGATATGCTTACCCACATGGAAGAAAAATATATTTGAAAAATATTTTAAAAATATTCTTCCCAAATATATTGCCATATATTTAAAATACTACAATTTTAGCCATATTCAATATATTTCAAAATATATTTCAATAAATATATATATATATATATATATATATATATATATCAGGGGCGGACTGACAACTCATGGGGCCCCCGGGCAATAGGGGATCATGGGGCCCCTGTGTCCTTGCCCACACCCAAAAAAGCCTATGAAATAGCCAATGAAAGGTACCAGGGTCATCGCATGGGGCCCCCTACCGACCCCGGGCCCTCGGGCAGTGCCCGAGTGCTTGAATGGTCAGTCCGCCCCTGATATATATATATATATATATATATATATATATATATATACTGCATGTTGAAATGTGTTTTTATTACAAAATATATGAAAAAAAAATTTTAAAAATACATTTCAAATATACTGTATGTCTTTAAAAATACAAATCTACATTTTTGGAGTGCATTTACAAATATATGTAAAAATATATGTTAAAATGACTTTTTTTATATGTGAAAAAAAATCTGAATATAGTTAAAAAAATTATTTTTTAAAAAAATATATTTTTTTAAGTATATTCATATTTTTTTACATATAAAAAGTCATTTTAAGATATATTTTTACATATATTTGTAAATGCATTCTAACAATGTAGATTTGTATTTCAAATATATGGCAATATGATTGGGAAGAATATTTTTCAAATATTTTTCTTCCACATGGGTAGGGTGCTAATGCCCTTTACACATTTCTTTTTATTAACAATGTGATACCTTTTGTTGTGGGTGAGCCTCTCAGGTCTTGGGCTATAACCTAGAGAGTATTCTACAAGTCTGGCTGCTAAAAACATAATTTGTTATTAGTGTATTAATCAGAAATAAATCATAAGCATTGTTTCCAAAAATAGGCTTCAGCCTTACGGGGTCTGAAAGCTGAAAGGATAAGAGCTATTGATTAATACATTTTGCATCTTAACAAAAAGCCTAATAGTGCCATAGATTATTTTTTATGAATGAAATAACACTGCCTTGTATTCCTCTGATACAACAGATGTAGAGAGAGATCATGCGGTTTGGTGGGAGTAGGCATTCGTTCTCCATCATTAATTGGGAAAGCATTGTTTTTATAATGCAGCTAACAATTCACAAGAAGGAGCAGAATAGAGATTCTTATGAATTGGCAACTTTAGTTTAGGAATGTGCACATGCCTAAATAATGTTTAGGCCGCTAACAACAACAATCCATTCTTGTCTGTGAATAAACACATGCGTAGGAAGAGCAATAATGAGTCAACCACTGTGTAAGTGGGAATAAAGGGGTTAATAAAATAAAAAAAAGATGTCTGTAAACTGTTGGCCCATTGTTTCCAAAACTGGGAATAATGTGATCTTGAGTTTGGCCAAATAATTTCAAATCTTTCAAACGAATGTCAACACTGCATGAAATAAACTCACATGACATTTATTTTTATGTCTCTTTGCATTTCCGATTGAGAAAAGTTGTCTAGCCCAATCTATCCAAAAAAAAAAGTTTTAACTAGGGATAGTCTAAGTTCACTGATGCCATGCCAACAGTGGTATTATCCATAAGGTTTTCTGCATAGAACATGTTATCAAAGTATGTGAGAAAGGTAGGGAGGTGAATGGGTACTCAGATTTCTTGCACAAGTGGTGATAAACAGGCCAAACAACAGCTTTGTACATATTTTCTTGATTTTTTTTATAGTCATGTCTAAAAAAAATATGTTTTTAAGTTCTGAACACAATACATAAACAGCTATGAAAGGACATTGCGGCACACATGTGCAAAAACCAAAACCAGGCTTGGAGAGGTTTAAAGTTGAACTTGTCCATCTCCAAGTGGGCAACAGCTGTCAAATAGCATTTTCAGAAGGTGGACCTTTTAGGAAAGGTTTACTTTAGCCGTCTCCTTAATTGAATCTTTTATACAGAATTCTTCTCCCAACATTTAAGTTAAACCATGCATTAAATGCATACCTAGTAATCTGCTATGGGTCACACATTAATGTGCATTGCATTAAGGCAGACCATTCATTTGACAGAGAAGATCCATTGGGGTTTCACTCAGAATGAGGCCTCGTGGTTACCATACTGCAGTGGTGTGAACAGGATCTAAAAGCTTATGTCTGGTCCAAATTACAAAAAAAAACTCTCTCACCTTAACTATCCCTAGAAGATGACTTTAATCTCTCCCCAACACTAACCTTTAAAGCCAATCCTTAATATCCAATCCCCTATCAGTTAAAACTACCCTTTACACTTGGTTCCCCACTTTCCACACCACTTAATCAAAACACTTAAACAAGCTCTTACCTTCCCCCAAAACATAACTCCTTAAGTGGGCCTTAGCATTTTTTCGCCCCCACCCCAACACTTAACCCTTAAAGTGAGCCAAATACACACCCAGAATGTGCATTGTCATAATACATGCCTATATGCGTGTTGCACTGCGGTGCCATTCTAAAAGGCAGCACACATATTGTATATAGTAGTTCTTACAGCAGAGTTCCACCCAAAAGTGGAAGTTCCGCTTTTTTGCCTCCCCCCCTGGCAGCCACATTTGGCACATATGCAATGGGAGACCAGCAGTGATGTTCACTGCCAGTTTCCCTTAGTCAAGATGGAGGTGTCAGAACCCGAGGAATCGGCTCGAGATGAGGACACCGCTGGATGCATAGACAGGTTAGTGCCCAAATATTAAAAGTCAGCAGCTACAGTATTTGAAGCTGCTGACTTTTAATTTTTTTTTGGGAGGTGCCTTTTTGCATTGCATTGGAACCATTTGTGCAGGTGTGTTTTTAGGTGCATTGCAATGTTTTGAAGGAATTGAAATCCAACCAATAAACTGAGATGAACAGTGACCTAACTTCTGAACTGAGTCCAAAACACTAACTGATATTGTGCTGCATACTCACTCTAATGTCAAATATAAAAGCAACGGGAAGGTGAAAGCTACTCATAATGGCCACCACAACTCAGGCAGTTGACAATAAATTCCACTAGCTTGTATTCAGAACTGAAATATCTGCCTTGAGTAGCTGACCCTTTAAAGTGGTTGCAAAGGCTAACGTTTTTTACCCCAATGCATTCTCTGCATTAGAGTGGTTGTAAAGGCTCAAGGTTTTTTACCTTCATGCATTCCATGCATGAAGGTAAAAAACTTTCTATGTGCAGCACCCCCCCCCCCCCCCAGCCCCCTAATGCTCATCTAAGCCCCTCTCGATCCAGTGATGTGCACTGGAGTCTTGGCCATCCCAGGACTCCCTCTCCTCTTTGGGTGAGATAGCAGCGGGAGCCATTGGCTCTCACTGCTCTCAATCACAGCCAATGAGAAGAGAGAGGGGGTATGGCTGAGACATGGCTCCATGCGTGAATGGACAAATGGAGCAGTGGCTCAGGAGTGCGCATGCTTGGGTGCCCCCATAGCAAGCTGTTTGCTGTGGGGGCACCTGACAGGAGGGTGAGACCAGGCGCGCCGGTGGGGGACCCAAGAAGAGGAGGATCTGGGCTGCTGTATGCAAAACCACTACACACAGCAGGTAAATATAGACATGTTTGTTATTTTTTTTTTAACCACTTGCCCTCCAGAGGATTTACCCCTCTTCCTGACCAGGCCATTATTTGCGTTACGAAGCTGCGGTAATTTAACTGACAATTGCATGGTCATGCAATGCTGTACCCAAATGAAATTTATGTCTTTTTTTTCCCCTAATAGAGATTTCTTTCGGTGGTATTTGATTGCCTCTGCGTTTTTATTTTTTATGCTATAAACAAAAAAAGACCGACAATTTTGAGAAAAAAAAAAACAGTATTTTTGAGTTTTGTGCTATTAAACATGTCCAGTACAAATTTTTTTAAAAAATCTAATTTCGTCATACATTTAGGCCAAAATGTATTCTGCTACATGTCTTTGCTAAAAAAAAATTCTAATATGTGTTAATTAATTGGTTTACGTGAGAGTTATAGCATTTACAAATGGCAGTATATATAATTTTTTTTTTACTAGTAATGGTACTTGGCCGGAAGGGGTTAACATCTGGGGCGATCAAAGGGATAACTGTGTGCTGTTTCACTGTGCGCTGTGTAAGTGCTTTACATTGTAAGCACACTGCTTTGTATGGCTCTGCTATGCAGAGCCATACAAAGCAGTGTGCAGGAGCTGACAGAGGAGAGATCTGTTTTGTTTATACACATTAGTCTTCCCCGTCAGAGATACTCGGCGATCACTGGGTGCCTGCAATAAATCACTGGCTGGTACCCGGTGATTGACAGCCGAGGCTGCGAATGGCAGCACGGGTAGGGTGCGCGCCCCCCTATCCCAAACTGCACAATCACAATAAATATACATGTGATTTTGCACACCAGTGCCACCCTGTAGCAGTATTTCTGCCATAGGGGGGCACGGAAGCGGGTTAATTTAAGCCTTTAAAAACACTTTAAGGTAAAAAACCTTTTACATGCAGTTTTCCCTGCCCCACTTAAATACTTATCTGAGCCCAATCTCAATTCATCACTGTACGTGAGAGCAGCGGTGCTGCTCTCTCTCTCCCCTCCTCACTGGACTCAGAGCCATTGGCTCCTGCTGCTGTCAATCAAATGTCAAATACAGTGATGAAGGTGGGGCCAAGTTGCATGATGGTGTGTGTCAGTAGACGCACACAGTGCGCTTGGGATTGAGCCCGCACGAGTGGCTCCATAGCAAGCTGCTTGCTAAGGGGGCACTCAGAAGGCAGGAAGGGCCAGGAGCACCGTTGGGGAACCTTAGAAGAGGAGGATTGGGGTTGCTCTGTGCAAAACTATTGCAAAGAGCAGGTAAGTATAACATGTTTGTAATTTTAAAATTAAAAAAACAACCTTTGCAGTTACTTTAGCTTCTTTCCGCACTGAGAATTGAATAAATGTATAAAAGAGAATGCTGTATGCTTATAAACTGCTATCAGCAGCATTTCTGGTCTGCTGGCTCCAGCAGCATTGAACATGAAGAGCTATCAAACCAAAATGATATATCAACAACCCTCCAAAACAAACAGTCTGCAAGGTTCGCTGCAGCATGATTAGATGATGAGTGGAAATAGCTGAGTAATTAATAAATTATTTTGCAGACAATCAGTGTAAGAGGCTGTGTTTGCTGCAATCAAATATAGGAGGCTTTCTACAGCCAGATACACACGGACTTTCTGATTTTACACTAAAAGCCGTATAACTGTTTACTTTACAAATGATTTCTTGTAGCAGCCATGGGTCTTCAAGTTGCAGACAGATATTTTCTGTCCTCAGTGTGTTGTGGATACCTCTTATTATTAGATTAAGTAAATTCATAAAACAAGAATTTGTTAAAATGTCTATTATATTAGAAAAAACATATTGAAAAGTCTGCAACTATATTTTCAGCTAGGAATATGCAAAAAAAAAAAATAGATAGAAGTATGTCATAGAAATTGTTCAACTCAAGTAAATTGATAGTGATAATATTTACTTGACCAAACATTTCTAAATGTTAATTTTTTTAATGTAATACTTTTTTTTAATGGCTCTATGTTATATTGAAAAAGTTTTTTTTTTTCTGGTTACTTTTTTTTGCATACAAAATCATATTTCCACTTGCATATAGTAGGAAAAGTTGGTTTCTTGTGGCACCAATATTTAAGCATTATTGACTAAGCAGTAATTATAACACAATTTATTATTTCCTTTTCCTGTGTGGTTAAATTAGTATTAAGTAAGCAGAGGAAAAATTCAATTCCCTTAAATATTACTTTCTTGTTCAAGAGTTTATGAGGTGGTTTTGAATAATTTGTTCCAAACTGCATAAAAGGATAAGTAAATCAAATATATATAGCCCTGTGACTGAATAAATCTCCCAGAATGAAACATTGAAGTGTTTGTTGAATTTGGATATATTTATGTTTGTGCCAGGTACCATCTATGCAATAAATTGTATCTTAACTCTTAGTATCTGATGTAATTTTTGCTTTTCACCTATAGAGAAAGTTTTCAAAATTCCATTTCCCAATTCACCAGTGCTTTGAATTGAACATTTGCGTCTAAAAGAGTACCATATTAGCATGTTCTTAGTCACTGGCTCAACACAAGTATGCATATCAGCACTTGTTCCCTTGTTCCAGTGACTCAGTTCCAGTGACTCAGAAAGTACTAACGTTTTATAGGAAGCTAGCATTTAGAAGGAGGTCAGCTAAGGCAACATCCTTATTTCATTTAGGACAAAGTTCCTTTAAAGTGTATCCAAGCCCCAAAGTAAAAATATAATATATTGCAGTTTACCAGTTCTTAGGTGTGATGACTACATTAGTTTTCATATTTCAAGCTAACATTTTCAGTAATTACCTAATATACCTGTTGATCTTGCCAGAAATGAAGCATCCTTGTCAATGCCTGTAAATTGAACAAAAAACACGAAGAACCCGTATCATTATTGTGTAATATACTCTGCTTAATAATCCACCATGTAATAGAGAGGAACAAAGGCAGACATATTTGAAGTCCAACTTGTGTGACAACCATGGCTGCCTGAATATTTACAATGGAGGAATGAGTGTAGACATGAAGGGACAGAAAGCTTGTTATTTGCCAGATTATTAGGTGAAAATAAAGGAAATAAGCCTGAAAAGTTAAAACTAATGCTGCCGCTACATCTAAGGACTGGTAAGCTGCAACGTATTACATTTTTTTGGGGGGGGGTACAGCTGCACAAAGGCTGAGATAATTTCTGACTGATTTGACCAATTTCAGGGCAGTCATATGGTAATCCCATTGTGTATAGAGTACATTATTAATTGTAGGAGACTGGAGTCATATTGCCGGGTGAAAATTTTTAAATAGTTTGTTGTCAATGTCAACTATTACAGTAAAGATGAACAAAAAACCACTGTCACGATCTGCCTAGCGGCGTCTCTATCGGTCCACAGCACGGATTTCCTCAGGGCGTGGGGTCTAAGTCCCAATCTGCTTATTCACCAGGGCCCCTGATGGTGGGGATGGACTTGGAGCAGACTGAGACCAGGTCGCGCTCCCTGAGTACGTCCGACAGTGGTAGAGAGCACCGTCAGAGGTAAGGAGTCTGCTGTGAAGAGGCTGGCAGACCTGGTAACCAGGGACGATCCCTGCGGGATGGATGGATCGTCTGGGTGGCTGGAAGCGTAGTCAGGCGGGCCAGGTCAGCAACGTGCGGGCAGCGAGGTACCGGAGGAGAAGGCAGAGAATGGTCGAGGTCACAAGCCGGGTTCAGTAACTAGCGGACAGCGCGGTACAAGGGGTCAGACAGAAGGATGGTCAGGCAAGCCAAGGGTTAAGCATGATACAATCAGCAGGGTCAGGTACAAAGCAGAGGTCGGCAACGGAGTAACACAGGATCAGGTATCAGGAACAGAGCACAAAAGACCAAACGGCAAATGACATACCTCTATTCCCATTTAAATAGCCCGCCCTGCGCTGTCATTGGTGCCAGGTGCGTGTCCGCAATCGCGAGTGCGCATGCGTGGCCATCGCGATCGCCCGGGTCCCGCTGCCTGCTGATTCGAACGCATCGGTGTCCTGCGCATGCGCCGCCCGGCATATCGTGGCAGGGACACCGATCCCTGACAACCACATAGCAAGGTCCCATAGGCAATAGCTGGGAATGTCCTAACATACAATGCAGAGTGGAATTGCATGGTGGGTGCAAAAAAAATTGTCCAAAAGCCACTTTTTTATTAAAGAGGATCTTTTCTCTAAAGCAACAGTATAGTTTTTCAGAAAGGCTCTACTTTCTATCATTAAAACATAGTACTTGATCTGCACAAACGAGGAAGCATTTTCCCAGTCTCATTATCCCCAATGAGCTGACTGCAAAACTGTATTTTCATACTGTGATGGAACGCCTGTCACCCCTGATTGGGTGATTCCATCAGAGAAGCGCTTCCTCGTCACTGGAACACAGGACCAAGGTATTATAGCCGGGCATTGCACCCAACACTAGACGAGACTAGCTTAGATGCCAAAACTGGAACTCTTTATTGCACAGAAAACACAGGTTTTTATACAGTCCAGAAATAGGGCCCATTACCCCATGAACAATATAACAAACATTACACTTTGGAATAAACACACTGATTAGATAACAAGGTGAAGCTGACATCAGTCTAATCCAATCATGTAGGCACCTCCAGAAGGACTTGCCAACAAACAATAATTAACTCCATTAACAATGGGAAAGCACACCTGGGAGGCACACAATGGGAGAAGATAGTAAACACATACCACCTTAATAAACAGATTACAGCAAGAGTCCTCAGCTTCAAGTTGTTTTTTTGGTTATATCAACATCTTCTTAGAGTCTATGAGTCTAGGAAGAAGGAGGGTTGAAGCAGTCAATGCAAGTTTGGGCACAGAGACCCCAAATCTGTATCTTGGTCCTCCAGGTCTCGGAGTCTCTGTGTTTTGGGGAGACATGACCTTGAATCCGAAGTAAACTACTCCAAAGATCCCCCTAGGCACACACCAATGCTAGAGCCCCCTCAGATGCCAGGGCCATGGTCAGTAGGCAAGAGGCTAGCCTGCTGTCCCCTCCAATAGCCCCAGTCCCGTTGAATCTGTCACACATACCAAGTCATAAGATGAAAAGCTTCAGCAGAGGGATGATTTGTGCCACATATATGTGAATTGTACAGCCCCCCTATATCCCTTAAAGTGGTTCTAAAGGCTCAATGTTTTAAAAAACCTTCTCTGTGCAGCATTCCCCTCCAGCCTAGCTCCCCTAATACCTAAGCCCCCTCTCAATCCAGTGATGTGCACTGGAGTCTTGAGTATCCTGGGACTCCCTCTTCTCATTGGATGAGACAGAAGTGGGACCCATTGGCTCCCACTGCTGGAAATCACAGCCAGTGAGCCAATGAAAAGAGAGAGGGGGCGGGGCCGAGGCTCCATGTGTGAATGGATACACAGAACATCAGGTGCCCCCATAGCAAGCTGCTTGCTGTGGGGGCACCTGACAGGAGGGAGGGGCCAGGAATGCCGTCCGGGGACCCGAGAAGAGGAGGATATGGGCTGCTCTGTGCAAATCCACTGCACACAGCATGTAAGTATAGACATGTTTGTTATTTTAAAAAAAAAACCCTTTAGAATCACGTTAACCATCCAAATGTCTTGGCTGTTTTATTAGATGTCATTTTCTTAATGAATTAAAGGACTTGTATTTTGGACTCTAAAGACTCGTAGTGTGGCACCATCACTGCTTTATTCAACATAGGAA